GTTAAAAGGTCTTTTAAAACACTTAGTATGATGTGTAATTAATAATAAATGCTGTAATACAGTTGTTAAATCAGATGAATATAAGGTATAATTTATACAGTATAAAAGAGCTATAGCAGCTTTAGAAGTTTTCTCACTGTTATGTGCATTTTCATGATAACTTTACAAGTAAAGATTAAATGCAATTAATGAAGTATCACTATAGACAGTAGTATTATATTCACTAGAGATTCACTTCCAAAAGTTTTTAAAGGTTTTGTTTACTTTTTGCTTGACAGGATTGTAGAGAACACAAGATTCGTCTTTATTTAATGGTTTATTTTTATTATAAGCTTCTTTATGTTCCTCTTGAATAGTCCTTAGAATGTCAAAGTTTGTTGGTAAACTCATATAATTTTATATGATTGGCCTAGCAGGAATCACCAATTTGTTAACCCTACGCTCAACCGTCGAACTTAGGGTAATGATGACTTGATAACAGGGAGTAATACATGTAATTAATCTAAGATTACTATGAAATAAGTCCTATCACAATCAACCTTTAAGTTTATCACTTGGTAAATGTTATAACACGAGTTTTAACTTTGTAACTTTATAACTTTATAACGAAGATAAACACTTTTAGACATGTTGAAGGGTTTTGTGTAGATTATTGTGTAGAAAGAAATTCCTTTTATTGTATATTTGTATGCTCAGAGATCCTTAACTCTTGGATTCTAAGACTTGAACTCGCACTTTTAAGTTATTCTTTTACAAGAATAACTTTCTATCCTATTTATACAAAATTACAATTATAAGAAAACTATAACTAACACTAATTTATAAATAATAGTTAATATAATTAATAAAGATAAAATACACAATAAAGATAAAGATAATAAATAAGATAATAAATATAAATGAGTTGAAGAATTTGACTATGTTAAAAATGTTGTAAATATTGTCAAAGTTAATTACGCTAATTAATGTAGATCTTTATAGCGCAGTAATTTTGACAAGGTCCGGTATTAACACTTAGCTCTTTTCTATCATTTTAATCAACAAAATCTATTGCAAGACCATCATTCTCCTTTAAAAAAGCAATACACTTATACAGCATATCCTGGTTGTCATCATAATTCAGATAATGACAAACTAGATTCCAAATTATCAAATACCTCAGATCTCAAATGTGCCTTCTATGTAAACTGTAGTTTGCTAAACATAATTGATGTAAATGGCCTAAAAGAAACAAATACAAGATTAATAGATTGAATTTATTTAACTAGAGCTTCTTTATTCACATTTTCTGATCAATCTCTTTTTCTTCATAACAAATTCTACAACATTAATATCTCTTCACAACCGACTTTAGAATTCTCTAGAAATTTTTCTCATAATACAAATTTTCTAAAAAAATTGATCATTAATCATTCTATTTATCAACATTTATTACACCTCTAACAACAACTTTATTTATCATATTTAAATAACCCCAAACCTTAGAATTTTATACAGATGATTCTCACATATATAATTCTGATAATTTGTCTACTAATCTTAGTTTAGCATTAGCTTTTATTAAAAATGATAATTTAGAATTTTCTTTCTCAACTGCTATTATCCCTATTTGGTCTAATTCATCCCATGCCGAAATTATGACCATTCTTTTAATCATACTTTTGTCTCCTTCATATTCTAATATTATAATCTATACAGACAGTCTTTCTTCAATTCAATCTTACAAAAAAATCAAAAAACAAAACATTTTTAACTACTTTACCCTTCTTTTTAAAATTCCTTTCTATATTTATTGGTCTTATATTTTCTTTTTAATAGATATCAAATCCTTATAAGTGAAATTTGTAAAAGTCAAAGCTCACTCAGGAATCAAATAGAATGAATATGTCAACACTCTTACCATAGATGCTTTATTTGAAACCCCAATAGAATTAATTTTTGATGATACTCCTCATGCCAAATATCTTCCTAAATTTCAGAATCTCATCATTAATAATCCAGTTCGATCTTTTATGAAAACAATTGCAACAAGTCAGGATTTCATTAACTTTTTTTACCTAAAAAGAAACTTCAAATACAAATTTTTTCATATAAACTGGCTCTGTACTTTTACCAATTTGAAAGGACATCAAAAATCAAATACAATCACATTCAATAACTCAAAACAACACAGCTGAAGAATCAAATTCTTAACTGAACAACTTCCTACAGTAGAATTTTTAAAATCTACACAAAAACACATTTACCAAAGTTTATGAAAATGTTGTCGCTATGCTATTGAAAATGAAACTTTTGATCATATTTGACTATGTTCTGCTAGTCTACCTATTATGATAGATATAATGGATTGTACCAAAAATTTCCTAATGCATCAACTTATCACACTACATTTTACTCCTTCTACCGTATTAATTCACTATTTAAACACTGATGAACTTTAGACTATTGCCTCTCACAACAATTCCTTAACTTTTATCAATCTAATTAAATGCATTATTCCTTCGAGCCTTTTCAATCATATTCAATGTATTACAAACTCACAGAAAACCACTTTTAATATCCTTTCAAACACTACCATGTACCTTTATAACTGAACTCATCATGATATTTGGCTCCCTAAATGTGAACTCATAATTGAAAAGAAAAGCTCAACACATTTCTGATAAACAAAAAAGAAAATACAACCGCTTTTCAACATTCATGTTTAATCGACACATTAATTCCTTATTTTTTTCCAACTAACCTATTTTTACAAATTGGATTGATTTAGTCAGACTTTCTATAATTCATGGGGATTGGACACTCTTCTTGGATCGGTAATAGCTAGTTATTTTCAATTTTTCTCTATTTTCAAACTTTTTCTTTTAATGGACAATTATGATTAAACTTATATTTATACATTTGTTTTTGAACTCGACAAGATAACTGGCTAGTTTGGAGGGACCTGGTCTTTTATAGGTTTTTTAATGTCTCTAGACAATAATTTTGTTTATGTTGAATCATATAGAT